AATATGAGAAAAGGAAAAAATGGAAACAAAGTCTTTGAAAATAGGGAAGGGTGGAGGGGGTGAAGGGAGGCCAGGGGAAGGGGAAAAAAATAAGAACCAAGATGCATCATGTAAAGGTACAAGATCCCAATGATGAATGTAACTGTATTTTATACCTAAAATGTACCATTAAACTTAATGGGAAAAAAAAAGAAAAACAACTTGGAAGATGGGCCTGGTGGCGCACATCTGTAATCTCAGCGCTCTGGGAGGCTGAGGCAGGAGGATCACAAGATCAAGCCTTGCCTGGGCAACTGAGTGACTTAGCAAGACCCTGTCTCCAAATAAAATATTTTTTTAAAAAATTTAATGGGGTGGACATGTAGCTCAGTGCAAAGGCCCTGGGCTTAACCCCCAGTACGGGGTGGAGGTTGAGAACTTGGTTTGAGAACTAAAGTTTAGCAAACTTTATTTGCTAGTGAAAGGACCTTTTTTGCAGATGTGGAGAAGCTATGAATCTTGCAGCCGTCAGGATGGTGAGCCATGTGCCCTTCTTGAATACCAATCTCACATGCTCTCTGGGATTTATATCTCCTCTCCTATGGCTCAGCTCTTCTATTTGAAGGTTTGGGAAGAAAGACAAGAGGGACATGAAAAGAACTACACCGGACCCTTGACTTACAAACTCAATTCATTCCTGAAGGCGGACTGTAACTCAAGTTGGTCAATTGAGGCTCAGGCTCCTCTACACAGCCTTCACAGTCCCTCTCCTGTACACAGGCAGATCTCAGTGGCCTTAGAGAGACACTGGCCCAGGATCTCTTAGTTAACCCCACACAGGAAAGGATGCTATAATCTTCCTTCCAGAACTCTTTAAAGGTTAAATCTATATCTGACATCATAAGCACAAACAGCTGGCATTCAGGTCCTAACTTTTTTTTGCGGGGGGGGGGGGTGGTTACCGAGGATCAAACTCACAACCTTGTGGTTGCGAGGCAGGCAGTGACAGCACTGAGCTAAATCCTCAGCCCCCCCGTTACTTTTTCTAACAGAGCAGTTAGGGTTTATATTCCAGATTGTTAGTACTGCTTCCTGTTTGAAGGAAAAATAACCTCAAATATTGAAAACAATTCCCTCCTTAGTAATCATGTCTGAAAATATTGCTGTCAGTTTTTGTATTCCTCTTAGGAAAAATTTGAGAGGGAGAGAGTTGAGAGAAGGGTTAACAGTAACTTAGGATCTTTGGTTTTCAAAGCCCTTCTCGGCTAGTGTGAATGTGGGAAGGGATGGCAGGAGTCGGTGTGGAGTGGGCTAAGCCTCAGCTTGGGTGCTGCCGTCAGGCAGCTGCTGCTCCTTGGTCGGGTACTGCACTCATCACAGCTCCCAGGCCTCATGTCTGAGCCCGCACCAGTGTTTGTGTGACATCACAGTTATACCCTAAATGTCTGTTTACACTTGGGTTTCCTCTTTGCAGGTGATCGTTTGCTCTGCTACCTTGCACTCCTTTGATGTGAAGAAGCTGTCTGAGAAGATAATGCATTTTCCTACGTGGGTGGATTTAAAGGGAGAAGATTCTGTTCCAGACACTGTGCACCACGTGGTTGTCCCTGTGAACCCCAAGACTGACAGACTCTGGGAACGGCTGGGGAAAAACCATATCCGGGTGAGTCCTGTCATGTGGCCCGGGTTGGGGTGAGTAGCTTGGCATGGGCAGGCCGAGGCCTGGGGACTCAGCATCGAGCACTGGGGAAGGGGAGCAGGAGTGTGACTGCAGATGTATAGTTAAAAAAGATTTTTTCTGAATCTGAAGAATGGTTTTGCCTACAGGATATAAAGATGTCTAAAATGTAGTCTAAAGACAAATATCATTCTTCCTTTAAAAAGTTAATCCCTGTCCCTTCCTGTTTTCTTCCATGCTTTCTTGTGGTAGACCGATGATGTCCATGCAAAAGACAACACAAGACCTGGGGCCAACAGCGCAGGTGAGCCAAAGCCCACAAGAGAGGTGGGGCTTAGGAAGAAAATGAGCCAGCCGCTTGGCTGTGTTTATGCCCTGTGGGTTCTCATCAAGGATGAGAGGGGACCTGGCAAACTAGAATAGGAAGTTGAAAAGAAAGCAACACAGCTGGGCATGGTGGTGCATGGCTGTAATCCTAGCACTCCGGAGGCTGAGGCAGGAGGATCACTGAATTCAAGGCCATCCTGGGCTACATAGTGAAACCCTGTCTCAAAAAAACAACAACAAAAAATCAACACAAAGAAATAGCAGAGAGGAAACCCTGCTAGTGCTCAGCTTAGGGGAATATTAATTACTGGACATAGGTGTCAGTCTCCTCTCTTGGATTAAAGTGCTTATGCGCACAGGACACCAGCACGTGTCTCTGGAGGCAGATTTTTATATTGGCCCTGAGACTGCAGCAGAAAGGTCCTGTGTTAGGGTTAATAACAATACCTTTAATTACAACTGTGGAAGAATATAGCAGTGGTCTGGTTTTGTTTATTTATTAATGGGTTTTTTAGCGGTAAAATATACATAACATAAGCCTTACTGTTTTAACAGTTTTTGGTGTACATCTCAGTGGCCTTAAGTAAATTTATATCGCACAGCCATCTCCTCTATCCACCTCCAGAACTGTCTCCTGTTCCTAAACTGAAGCTGCACCCATTAGATGTGTATCGGTTTCTAAAAACACCTAACGTTAAGTCTCAGCTCGATGAAGAGCCTGTGTACAGAGCTGAGGCAGCTTGCTTCATGCACTGTGTTTTGAAAATCGATAGAAGCACAGCGGATGCAAGGGCAGTGCTGACACAAAAAGCAAGGTTCTTGAGCCCAGAGGCTGCACTTCCACCGTCCGGCGCCCCACATGGACCACTGGCAGGATCAGCCTACATTTGCTTCTTGGTCGCGTTTGCTGGCAGCGTATGTAGGACGTGTGTCTAGAGAGTGGATCGTCTGAACTCTGAAGAGCATTCCCTTGAACTCAGTTTTATGTGCGTCTGAGTTACATAGTACATGCGCAGTTCCACTTCCTGCTGAAGAAGAGCAGACCTCCTTCAGTCCACTGTCGGGAGTGCATTTTCTAACACTGCAGTTTTTACTGTGTCCTATGGTTTCCTTGTAGAAGTTTTGTTGCTTAGCTTATGCCACAGTCAGAGAGGCCCAGAGAGACCTTAGGGGTTGGGCTGTGGAATTGGGGCGCTGTGGAGTAACAGCTGCAACACAGCCTCACGTGGGGAGGGGGGGCGACTAGGAAGTTACTCACTAATGGGGTCTGATGCTAAGCTTTGCATTATGGAGAATGCACTGTGGATTTCCTGGTGTTCAAACTGAGAAAGTCGATTATTTCTAAGAAAGGCTAAAATAGTCAACATCGCAACCACTGAGGGAAGTTAATGCTGGGAGATGGTGATTAGCTCTCCACGGTGTGTGTTTTTCTGTGAATGGGTGTGTGTGTCTCTTTGTATTCCCTTATGACAGGTATGGTTGTGAAGGTTTGTATAGCCTACAGAGTAGCATAAGAAACAACAAACAAAAACAAGTGGGCAGCTTTACTCACCATGTCTCCCTTCTTGTACATCTTGTCTAGAATACTTAGAGCAGAATCTTCTAGGAGAGATAAGCAGTAAGTCTGTGACCGACTGCTTGTGACAAGCGCAGGTTGGGAGTCTCAGTGCTGTTGATGGTGTCACTGATGTTGTGGTGCTGGTGTTCCAGAGATGTGGTCTGAAGCTGTCAAAGTCCTGAAGGGAGAGTATGCCGTCCGAGCCATCAAGGAGCACAAGATGGACCAGGCAATCATCTTCTGCAGAACCAAGATCGACTGTGACAACTTGGAGCAGTACTTCATGCAGCAGGGAGGAGGTAAGTTTCCTGACTCGGCGTACACTGTGTCCCTTATTCAGTGATGCATGTGGAATGCGCGCCCAGGATTGCTGGCAGCCATGGCCCACTGTCAGCGTCTTCAATTACCTGGACCTTTCCATGTGATCGGGCCTGGGAACAGCAGCGCACTTTGTACACAGAAACGTCTTCATTACACACCTGACCTGCAGCCTGCTGAGGCCTCACGTCATTTGCGAGGAGTGGAAGGTCTTCAGTATTAAAATGTACAGGGTAATCACTAATCTGACGGAATGGGTGTCTTCTAAACCAGTAAATGGGGGCAGGGACACTGGGGGAAAACCCCTTATCCAAGAAGGCCGAGAAAGGATGAAGGAAAAATGGAAAAGGAATGGTAGGAATTACAGAGAAGGTCAGTCATGGAAAACTAAAAAATGTGTGAGTCAACACTTTCTGGGGACCAAAGTTGCCTGCTGGAAGGCAGCGTGTGCTGTACCAGGCGGCACTTAGCTGTGTGATGTCTCCAAGCATCCCTAGAGCCCGAGGGCAGGGAAGGAGTGAAAGGAAAGGGGATAGAAGTTACTCCAGCGAAACACGGATCAGAAGTAGCTAGCCTGGTTGTATCAATAAGAGATGCAGTAGATGGTAAGATAGAATTATTACTCAAAATAGAGACGGTAGGGGCCGGGGATTTAGCTCAGTGGTTCCACTGCCTGCCTCTTAAGCGCAGGGTCCCAAGTTTGATCCCTGGTACCAAAAAAAAAAATTGAGACGGTCACTAGTGTGGTTGATTCTAAATCGTATGCGTCTTACAACATTCAGTACGGAATCACATGAAAAATGTCTAATCCCTTCTGAGAACACAACATACAATCCCAGTGTGATGCCACTGTATAGGCTAAACTAAATACACCACCAGAGTTTGTCAGGGATACGGAGCAGCTGGGATATTCCTGCAGCACTGAGCAGAATAATAAATGGTATAACCATTTTGTTAAAAAGGTCTTTAGGTCTGTTACAAAACTAAACATTGCTGTCTTACAGCCTAGCAGTTCAGCTCATAAATGTTTACTGGAGATAAATGAGAATTCACATTAACCAAAGCTGTAAGCAGGAACAGTCACAGCAGCTTAATTAAATAACGGAGCACACGTGGGATGCTCAGAACCCTGAAGCCGGATGGGAAATACATGGGGATCCTCGGCAGGGGAAAGGAAGGGACACAGCCACTATGGGTGACCTCGGAAACATAGCAAGCAGTCTGGGTGGAAGTCTGGTTGTTCCACGTGGAGGAACAGAGGACATGGCCGTCCCCAGGAGGGTGGGAGGAGGGAGCGGCAGGAAAGGTCTCGGGTGTCCTTCACGGGCGTTGGTGATGATCTCTGCTGTCAGGTCTGCACACGTATGGGCAAGGTGTGTGTGCTGCTTGTGTGCAGCCTCCACACCCTGGAGGAAGAGAGCTGAGCACACACTGAGCTCGCCAGACTGGCCTGGGCTCGGACGACTGCCTCATTGACCTGCAGGCCAAAAGCACAAAGACGAGGGAGGGAGGGAGAGGGCAGGGTGCGGGGGATGGTGAAGTGTTAGTGCCGAGCCGGGGCTAGAGCATCCGCTCTGAGCTCCTTCCACTTTTGCTCTGTGTTCAAAAATGTAATGTTGACAAATATCTAACCTAAAAATTGACACCTGCACAAGGTAACAGCGGAGGCCCATTACAGGGGGAGACTCATACCCTCCTGTCTGTATTCATGTGTCACATCAGAGAGAAAAGACTCAAAAGGACATGGAGAACCTGAACAACAGCGTAGAGGTCGGAACTGTCAGTCATATAAGGATCTCACTAACTGCTCATTACTGGGAGCAGTTCAGTAACATTTTTCCCAAGCCCTGCAGAAAGATGGCTCGGTTGTTACAGTTAGTGATGGTTTGCAGTGTTTTCTTCCGGTCAGATTCTGAGTGGAGACATTATTACAATAGTAGGAGTTCACAGTGCAGGAAGAGCTCAGCTATGTGCTGCTGGTTGTTCTGGTCCACTCTTACTTCATCTCTACATAACTGGTTTTTGTGCTACTTATTTTGAATCAACACCTTTAAAAATGTTTCATTCCCTTGAATTCTCAGGCATGCCTCATTGAGCCTGACCTACCACAGAGAGGGTTCCACCATGGAACCATTCTGCTGGGCCGTCTCCTGTGGTGCTCTGGGCTCCAGAATCCCATTTGGCCCCACTCCAGGTGTACCTGCACTTACTTGCCGTAGCTGCTTGCAGCGCTTCCTGTTTAAGGTTGGCTGTGCTGCGCTGGCCTCTGAAGTAGCACCTTCGGGCCCTTCCGGTCTGCTGCTTCTAACCTGCTGCAGCCAGGAACCTGGATTGCCATGTCCCTGATGACAGTGCCATGTCAGAAAGGCGAGGACTTCATGGTGCGCTTCTTCTAAGAGTGAGCTCTTCTGTTCGTAGTTTTGCACAGAACAGCGAGCTTCCCTGTGTCATGTGCACTTCAGCTGGCACTCTGCTTCACCTATTCCTGCAGACCAGGAAGGGTTGATTTTAATGCTCCTCAGAATTTATTCTAATGGCATTTTGCCTGTGTCAGAGATGGTGTTACTCATGGTCAATTGCAAGTTGGGGTATAGATTTTCAGAGAATTCTGTGGCACATTGAAGCCTGAATTCTACTGGCTTTCTGTTAGTCGTGGGCCTTCTGTTTTCCAAGGTCAAACTTTCAAGTGTGTTTCTCACCAGGCCCTGATAAGAAAGGACACCAGTTCTCGTGTGTTTGTCTTCATGGTGACAGGAAGCCTCACGAGAGAAAGCAGAACTTGGAAAGATTCAAGGTACTCATGTTCAGTTGTCAACATTTCTTTCATACCTAAGAGGGGAATTAATTCTAGTCTTAGTGCCAGTTAATTTTTTTTTTGCCACTTAATATGGAGGCAATTCTTGACCTAGAAATTCCAGCATATTCCTGCTCTGACTGGTTTATCCTTGTCACGGCAGGGATTAGGCATCTTTGACTCAAATGCTGGATTTCATGTTCTCTCAGCACACAGCACTATTAAAAGAATTTTCAGTTAGGAATATTTTAATGTTTGGGAGATAACTGTAGAAGTATCATTGGACAGGAAAGCCATGTCAGTGAGTTGATTTTTTTTTAAGAAAGTCTGTAGTGGGGCCGGGGATTTAGCTCATTGGTTTCGCTGCCTGCTGTGCAAGCGCAAGGACCCGAGCTTGATCCCCAGTACCAAAAAGAAAGTCTGTAGCATTATCTGTAGAGAACTTGTAGATCAGTTGAAGACGGTACTAGAATGGTTGTTTTTTTCCTATTATCTATCCTTTATTTTGCTCTTTATTTTTACTTTGGGATTCTCATATAAGAGAAGCCATCTGATACTTGAGCTGGTGTGTCTGGTTTATTTTATTCACTGTGGTCTCAAGGTGGATCCATGGAATGAGGGGCTGTGGACTCAGGTGGGCTTTGTTTCTGTATTGCTCACAGTGGACCTTGCCAGGCTTGGGCCAATGAGAACTAAGGGTCAGTGGCTTCTCCCCCGCTCCTACGCCTTCCCGCACACCCTGTTCAGCCCCACGTTTGTGACGGTTCCGCTTTCCTGGGGCGCTGTGCCCTCTCCGTCCTCCAGCCCCTCTTGCAGGGCAGGCGGCCCCAAGCGCCTGTATTTCCTTGGAGAGCACCAGAGGCTGCTCCTCTTCCCTCTGTAAGGCCTGGACTGTGGTCACTGGAAGTGTGACCTCAACTACATTCCAGACTTACTTCAGTATGCGAGTAAAGACTCTGCGTATGTGCCTGCATGTTGTTCTTATCTTTCTCTTGAAGTTCCAAAGATATTTCTAAAGATTGAGGATATTTAAAGGCCCAATTTGAGCAGTGAGTTAATATCTTTGATGTCAGTAAGAGAAAAACAAGATTTATCTAGTTACTGATTTATTCATCTGTAATGTCATGATTCATAGCAGTGTAAAAACTTCAGAAATTACAAGTCTCTGAACCTCTTATCTGGTAGAAACCTTTAGATATTCGCGGTTTTACATAGTGGAAAGGTAATATTTGCTTTCATTTTTAGTGTATTTCCTAACAGATTACATTTTCTCTGTTCTCTTTAGAAAGGAGATGTAAGATTCTTGATCTGCACAGACGTAGCTGCCAGAGGGATTGATATCCACGGTGTTCCTTACGGTAAAAACAGACTTTTATGCTTCAGTTCTACATAATCTAAGTAAAGCTTCCTCGTGTATGCTAATGGCACTCGGTGATGTTCTTTTCGCTTAGTTATAAACGTGACCCTGCCTGATGAGAAGCAGAACTACGTGCACCGCATCGGCCGCGTAGGGAGAGCAGAAAGGTACTGCTGCCCTTCCCCTCTCTGCTCTAACTTGGGAGCAGACTCTTAACGGGGACTTCTGCCCCTTCCTTCCAGGATGGGACTGGCCATTTCTCTGGTGGCGACCGAAAAAGAAAAGGTAATCTTTCCGGGGTTCTGCTTTAACCATTGTGTGGATGGTGATTTAGAGGTTGGAAAGAAAAGGCTGTTTGGTTTTTTTCATTTAAATTGGATTCAGTTACATATGGAATAAAAATGAACTTTTTATGGCATCTTTTTCTCTATACTCTTTGAGTAGAAAAACAATAGGATAAGATTTAGAAAAGAAAAACTGCACACTGTGGTTTTTGCCTAATAGCCTTAATGTAACTTTTTTCAGGAAACAATAGTGAAGTCCTCTGGCACGGGTGCCACAGAAGGCTGTGTGGGGTGAGGGAACTTACTTTAGCGTACCTGCAAGTTTATACAAGAACATCCCTGAGTACCTGTTGCCCACATGTGCCAGTTGTACATTTTACTCTGCTTTCTGTATTATCCTCATATATGAGATGTTTCTCCTTTATTTTTGATTCTGGTCTTGATGGAGCATTCTCTGGTACTTACTTGTTCATTCGTGCTTTGTCTGAGAACTCCTGTCTGTAGCTGACACCTATTTTAGGAAAATCTTTGATTATCCTCCCAAAACTCACAAGATCCGTGTATCGAGCCCCTCCCAGAGGTGGTAGCTGGAGGCGGTATGTGAGCTGTTCCCCAGAGCCTTAAGGGAGGGCAGTGTTCTCAAGGTGATGCAGACCTTGTGGAGGCCTGCTCCGCTGCCCAGTGCCTGTGCTCCGCAGGTGTGGTACCACGTGTGCAGCAGCCGCGGGAAGGGCTGCTACAACACCCGGCTCAAGGAGGACGGTGGCTGCACCATCTGGTACAACGAGATGCAGGTGAGCACGCGCCACTGCCGAGGGTGGAGCCAGGCGGAGCCGGGGGGAGCCGGGCCTGGACTCGGACTCGGACTCCGCTGGGGCCGGGGGAGGAGGCGATGCTTACCTTAGCAGTGGTCCATCAGCTCGTCGCTGGCGCGGGCTCCCAACTCCCACACACGGAGCCTTCTAGGCTCGTGGTTTGCTTTAATGCTGTTAAAGTACAGCTCTGTCCAAGTGAAATTTTTTTTTGACAACATTTTCCTTGCTCCCCTCTCTGTAGCTGCTGTCTGAGATAGAAGAACACCTGAACTGCACCATTTCTCAGGTGGAGCCAGACATAAAGGTTCCGCTGGATGAGTTTGACGGGAAGGTTACCTACGGTCAGAAAAGGGCCGCCGGGGGTAAGCGTGGGCCGTTTCTGGCCTGATTTCAGTGTAGGCGAGGGTTGCAGAGGGGCGGGCTCGTGTCGGTGTGCTGCTCTGTCCTTACCGCTCACTACACTGTCCATAGTCTCCACCGCTCTTGTTCTGGTCACAGTGGGTGAGGGACAGCAGCTGAGCTGTCTCCTGTCAAGTATTATTGTCACACGCATACTCGGGCGTCATGTGGAATTATTAAGAAGCGGCAGTACACTCGGTGGTTTTGAACAAGGAGCCCAAGTCTTTTATTGGTACCGGGAATTGAGCTCAGGACCACGTGCTTGCCAGGCAGGCCTGCACTGCTGAGCTACAGCCCCGCCCCGAAAGCCTTTAACTTGGCTCTGTGACAGCCCGGTTTACGTTCCCTGTGCCCAGGACACCCTTCCTCCCCTGGTTCTCGATCGCTTTTGACTCAGCTAAGCTGCCCGTGTGCAGGTGGAGAGGCGGTAGGGACAAGGATGCGGTGAGGCCCCGGGCTTCATTCCCGCTGAGATATTGCTGGGGTGCTGCAGAGAAGCAAGGCCGGCAGGGTGCTCCTAGGCGGGAAGCAGGGTCAGTCCGGGCCAGTCCGAGTGTCAGACGGCCCTGACGTGGCTGTGTGCTTTGTGCCACGCAGGTGGGAACTACAAAGGCCACGTGGACATCCTGGCCCCTACCGTCCAGGAGCTGGCTGCCCTGGAGAAGGAGGCCCAGACCTCCTTCCTGCACCTGGGCTACCTCCCCAACCAGCTCTTCAGGACCTTCTGAGCTGTGGCCCGAGTTGGCACACTGCGCGCGCACCGTGCATCATACAAGCTCTGCAGGCCAGGAGCCGCCTGGTGAAAATAAACCTGCCGGCTGCATTCTCATGGCAGCACCTGTCTTACTGCACAATTACACTGACATTTTTCTTTCTTTTAGTTTTTCGCATATGTGGGTGGTACTTACACTTACACATCCTGGGAGGTCGGTCCGTGTGTGTAACACATCTTGACTCTTTGTTTGTCCCTCCCTGCAGCTCCCCTCTTTTGGTCCCTTCCCATTGCAGAAGATCTATCTCCCTGCTTCCTGTGATCTTTTATTTTGCTGACTTTCTCAGGGAAGAGAAACCATGCGATATTTAAGCCTGATTTATTTCCTGTAACATCCCGGTCTCAGCATGCATCCCTTTTCCTACAGGGGACTCAGGTTTCTCCTTTATGGCAGAGCAGTGCTCCAGTGTGTAATACTCTATTTCCTGTACTGTTTCTTAGAGCACTGTAGGGTACGGGCAGCGTCTGGAATGTGGATTGCGACGCTCCAGCCAGCCTCCTGGGAGTGGGCCTTCAGAGGGCCGCGGGTGTGCAGGTCGGTGACGCGGCTGGAGCAGCACCGTCATGTGGAGGGGAGACCCAGGGTGGAAGGCCGGCGAGGGGCGCGTGTGCCTCGGCAGTCGGAGTCGGGCCAGTTCAGGGTCTGGATGCGGGTGGGTGTGGGTGGCGGTGCGGATGTATAGGAACCACCAGAAGCTGTGTGCCCAGGACAGTAAAGCTGCTCTGCTGCCCTTCCCACCCTAAAACCAGGGCTCAGTCAGCTCTCTGGAGTATGCTTTTTAAAAGCTTGTGTCTTGCCTCAGACATCACAAGGAAAGGGAAATTAAAATAGGCACAATTGCATTGTTTTGCTCCCTTTGACTCTTAATTTAGAAAATCTTTTTTGAAAATTATTCTTGCCCTAGGGTTTTTTGTAAGAGCACAGGCTAAGCTGGGCATCGTGCCATGTGCCTGTAGTCCCTGCTCACTGGGAGGCTGACGCAGGAGGATCTTGAGTTCAAACCCAGCCTGGGCAACTTAGCCAGACCCTGTCTCAAAAGAACAAAAGAGCTGAGGATGTAGCTCAGTGCAGAAGCCCTTCATTCAGTTCAGTCCTCCGCGCCAAAGGAAGAAGCAGCACACAGGCTGCTGTAATTTCTTTGTGATGGTTTTCAAGCCAGTCAGCACTGAAATGTTTTCAGTCTCAAGTGGAACTGTATAAGGTGGTGCAGCGGCAGTGGCCCCTGCCCTGGTTCACCGAGGTGAGGTCGGGGCACGTGTGAGGAGCTGAGGGAGGACGCAGCCTAGGCGATGTCCCTGGACGGCGCCCTATGGAGCTGGCCATGGTCTGCAGCTGTTGATGTGGCAGAGCCCCGGCTGCAGGTTCACACCCTGGCTTTGAGGCACAAGGACTGGAAACCCCTGCTGGCTTTCCTGGTGCCTTGTGACTCCCAGATCCCAAGGGATGGGCTGGAGGAGCGTGAGGCTGGGCTGAGCTGAGAGACAGAACTGTCACCACACAGCCAGTCACTGAGGGGCTGCAGGAGACCTGCTCCACCCTCCCGCGGTCCCCCACCTTACTGCCGCAGACTTGGACCAATCAGCAGCCTAGATCTGGAGCCAGCTGAGGCCATCTGCTTGCTATAAGCAGCCCTCCTGTCTCCACCAGTTGTCGCTGACCCTCGTCTGTCTCCCAGTCTACTGACCCAGCTGCAGGTCTCTGTCAGATTCTAGAACTCTTCAGTCCTCCCCTACCCTAGTGTTCTCAGCTTTTTAAATGAGCAACCCACTCTGCCCACCCTGCACAGGGAGAGAATCCCAAATACACTCACAGGATCTTCCCAGGCCCACTGGCCCTGGGACAAATGACAGGACTTACCGGACCATCATGACAGCACTCTGCACAGGTGCTGGACTGCACCCAGCAAACGACTGCTGGCTCCATCAGAACAACCTGAGGGGCAGCCCAGAGTGCTGCTTATATAGCAGTGGCAGGCCTGTGATTGGTTCACATTTGAGGCAGCTGATTGGCCCAAATCCTAGGCTGCTAATTGGTATGAATTCAGGACTGCTCTGGTCCAAATCAAGACCTCTGATTGGTCTGAAGTGATGCAAAGCCTTGTTTGGCCCAGGCAGATATCTTCCTGGAGCAGTTGAGGGGCTTCCCGGGCAGCCCGAGCACCAGCTGTCAGTCAGCGCTCGCCCCCTGCTGGCTGTCCGAGGGAAAAGAGCGGGGCCTTCCAGATCTGTGTCAGCAAGTCAGGGTTGCTTTGCAGCCTCATCTTAGACGTGATATCCATTCACCGTAGGCCGCCCCTTTCTTCTCACGAACAGGAATACGCGACCTTCTGATCTCTTGGGGTGGGGAGCTGTATTGGTGCTGGAACCCAAGGGCTTAACACTGAGCTACATTTCTAACCCCTTTTTAAATTTTGAGACCGGGTCTCGCAAAGTCACTAAGTTGTCCAAGCTGGGCTCGAACTTGTGATCCTCCTGCCTCAGCCTTCTAGGCGTGCACCATCCCGCCTGGCCACAATGGCACTCTGGCGTAACCAAAGTTACACAGCCGCGAGAACCAGGAAATCGCCGTGGGCACCCGACACAGAGCTGACTCAGAGTTACCAGTTTAGGACCTATGTGTGCGACTCCACAGTTGCACGACCTGCGCATTTATGCAGCCGCCTGGCAGTCGTTCCTTATTCTGAGGCCTGCATGTTGGGAAACAGCGTCTCGGGGGGGTCTGATGCACTCGAGGGGAGGTGCCGCGCGCCAGCCTTACCGCATGCGCACTCACCTCCGCACCCGGTGTAGCCCTGCAAGGGCAGCCATGGCGCATGCGCACTCCTTTTCGGCGTCTCTACAGGGGCCACTGGTCCAGGCGCATGCGCACTCTCCTCCGTACGCGTTGAAGCCAAGGACTCGGTGCTCTGCCTGAGACCGGAAGACACGTCCTTCCTGAGCACCGGCGGCCGCTGGCGCGGCTCAGCGGCGCCCTTGTGTGGCTAAACGCAGAACCGTACCCGGAGGGGAGCTAAGGCGCTCCTGAAAAAAATGTTTAACCTCGCTGCCCAATAGAGGAACGCAAAGCAAAACAACACTCAGATCCCATCTCACCCAGAAAGAACGGCGATCACCGAGAAATCAGCCAGTAATACATGTCGGCGGGGAGAACAGAGCCCTTCTCCACCGTTAGTGGGGGTGTAAACTGTGCAACCACTGTGGAAATCAGTGTGGAGATTCCTCAAAAACTACGACTGAAACTTCCATTTGACACAGCTGTGCCCCGTCCCGGTGTCTTCCCCAAAGGGTTAAAGACATCACCTCACAGGGATCCATGCACACCGTGTTTACAGCAGCACAAGTCATCATAGCTAACTCTTGGAAGCCGCCTGTGTGCCCATCAGGAGATGAAGGGATAAAGAACAAGAATGTGTGTGGTATTTACACACCATGGAGCACTACTCTGCCATAAAGAAGGATAAGCCTGAGTCATGTGTAGGAAAACGGGTGCACCTGGGACTGTAATGTGAAGAGAAATACATGAGACACACAAGCTTAAGTATCGCATGGTTCGTCTTTATGACAACAAACTATAAGCTCAAGCGCAAAACAGAAGGCACACAATGGGAAACGGGCAGGCAGAGCTTTTGCAAATGGGAAGGGGGCCAAGAGCTGCAGGGAGGGGTGGGACGTAAAGAGGATGAAGCCCCGGCCAGGGGTTTAGCTCAGTGGTTTCGCCGCCTGCTGCACAAGCGCCGTGTCCACGCACCAGCTCCGCCTCCTCCCAGGGGCCCCCACTCCGGCACCCGCAGGAGCAGCGCGACAGTGCCCCACGTGTGGGCTTCGGGTCACTCCAGCCGAGGAGGAGCTGGCCGGCATCCTCTTCCAGGCTCAGGTCTGTGGGGCGAGGCGGAGACGGGGCTGGGACCCCCGGTGCGTGCCCACCCAGGCCATCCCTGAAGGCCGCTCCTGGTTGAGGTGTGAGGCGCGTGGAAGGCGATTGTTTCTCACTGGTGTCTGCAGCTGAGTACACAAACGGGGGAGCACCTGAAGAGCAGGGGTCAGGAAGGCTTCACAAACGAGGCATTTCAACCGGGCTTCACAGGATGGATAGGAGTTTTCCAATCAGAGGGCGAGGCCAGTCAGGCATGGCGGTGCACAGCTGTAACCCAGCACTCTGGGAAGCTGAGACAGGAGGATCGAAAGTCCAGGCCCAGTCCGGGCAACTTAGTGACTTTACCAAAACTGTGCTCACGATAAAAAAAATAGAATGGGCTGGGGATGGAGCTCGGTGGAAAGACCCCAGAACAGGGGCATTGCTCAATATTATGCTAAGCATCCAGCACAGTGAGAGACACTAGCACTGCATTTGTAGTACTGTGTTTCCAGGAAAATAAGATCTAGCGGGAAAGGCCTGGTCGTTACCGTGGTGATAGGGAGTTACACCACAGTGCTCTGCACCTCGGCTGCTCCTCTGCGCGGCAGGTGAGGCGTGGAGACTGGGTGAGCAGTTTTGATCTCTAGTTTGCAAGGCCGATTATTTTGCAGTTACATCTTATTTTGGGGGAAACAGTATTTACCATTTACCTTTTACCTGTGTGACATACAATATTGCAGTAAATACCTTTCTTCCCTCTTTTGGATTTCTGTTTTGTTTCGTTTTTGAGATAGGATCTCACTATGTTGTCCAGGTTGACCTCAAACTTGGAGCAATCCTCCTGCCTCAGCCTCCCGAGTGCTGGGATGACAGGTGTGCACCACCATGCCCGGCTCAGATTTGTTTTAAATAAGATTGCAGGCTTTTTTCTCTTTTCTTTCCTTTTTCCTTTTCCTACTTTTTAAAAGATAGAAGTGCTCATAGCACTCTGGACTGCCTGGATTTAAAAATGAATAAGAGTTGGTTGCTAGCCAGCTGCCTGGTCTTGATGTGGGGTGAACTGAGGGACGCCCAGGGGCCCTGTGGCTCTTGAGAGCAAGCTTCTCATTCGCCTGTGGGTGTCACAGAAGGAATATTTGGTCGAAGGGAAAAATGCATCGGGGCAGGAAGGAAAGGGAGGTCAGCTGTCTCGCCGGGCCCGTGCCCCATGGGGCTCCCTGGCTGTGATTCCCATTGTGTTGCTTCACATAACCGCTGCAGGTTGAAGTCACCAAGCCTGTGTTCTTCTGACAGCCGCTCCGCTCCTCCTGCTCACAGCATTGAAGGGAATCTGAAAGAACTTGGAGTCAGAGAGGCCCCGATCGATTCTGCGATAGCTGCCAACTTAGGGCTAAGGGGGGCCCAGGAATGAGCGTTTTAACAAATCCCTCAAGACCCACACTTTGAGAAGCACTGCCATCCACAGGGTTTCGCTCTGGAGCCCAGGCTGGCCACCAACTCACAGCGATCCTCCTGCCTCAGCCTCCCAGGCTGGGATGACCGGCGTGTGCCACTGCACCCGGCTACCTGTGGCCTCTAAGATGCAAGGGTACAGGAGACAGGTGCTTGCTGTCCTCCAGCCCTGTCTTTTCCTGGGCCACGGCCTCTGTACCAAGGCTGTTCCCCTTGGGTCAGCAGCCCTCGCTGGGGTCACCCATGGGCTGAGGTGGAAGCCTCGCTTTCTGAGAACTCCACTTTCTGTGCTCTGAATGGGCCAGGGAGGCCGAGGGTGCCTGACACGGAGGCGGGTCCTCGGTGCTTCTCGGCCCTGCCTTGGCCACCGAGTGTCCCCGGTATGCGCCAGGCGGACACGTGTCCAAGTCCCGCACAGCCAGGCCCCACCAGGACCCTTGCTCTGGCTTATGCCAGGGAGCTCACCTTTGAGAAAAACTTTCATAAAAATATGCCATCTTGGGAAAGGAAGTTTAATGAAGATTATTTTAAAAATAGATT